CTTCTTCAAATGAATGAGCAGCCCCTGTAAGGGCAAAACAGGCAGGTGGCTACATCATTATGCTGACAGACTGAACGTATTAGAAGTTCTCTTGACCAACATGCTCTTAATAAAAGGTTTTATTTCATTCCTCTGCACACATGGGCTTCTGTTGCAGTCTCCCTTGGGAGAGTTCTGCTTGCCTTCTGGAGTCTGGAAAACATCCCCCTGCTCTTTGCATACTAATCTGCTCTGGTGGACCTGTGGTCCTGATCAAGCTGCTCTGCCCTGTAATTCTTCCCTGAATGCCTGCTTTCAAATCAAGCCAAAAAGGGAAACAAATACTTATTCCATCAGAGGTTCTGACATGTTACATTAAACAAGCAAGGCATGTGCAGAATATTTATGTTTTGGGAAGAAAGAGATGGTAGTATCAGGATAACCTTGCCTTCCACTCAAGATCTGTGTATAAACAGAGATGAGACTGGAAAAGGGCAGCATTTAGCCATTTCACACAAGAGCAGGATAAACTGCATCTTTTTCACACGCTTAGGCACTATCATTGCAAGAGGGAACCTTATGAACATACTGCCTTTCAGACAAGGATTTCAGAGTGCTCAGCAAATACAGATTTGCCGTCACCATTTCACATCAATTCACTCTTGACTAGAAGGAAGCCTTTTTTTAAAAGGAATGGAATTATTAGGCTGATAATAACATCTTCACCATGGTATAGGCATCTTTTTCTCAAGCGGCACATCCGCTATTTGAGTTTCCAAGCAGTTAAGCTACGTGCAGGGAGAGAAAGTGATCACCAAAGTGATTCAGATTAGTCCAGATTAACAACAGACAAAGATGTTTTGAATCTTTTCTTCCATTCTATAAATGACAATAGCACATCTCAGTCTTTTCATGCTCAAGCAACAAAGGAAAAGTCCACATTGACACAATGATTCACAAGTGGGAGTTTCTTTCTGGCCCTATTAAATGATGGATCTTTATTCCGTATTATGACACTATAAAATAAACAATTTTACTACACAAAGAAACAATACTATTTACGTAACTTTATAATCCATAGCCCTCAAGGAACAATATGTGCTTCACTATTATCTTGCTTGTTGCTATAAGACAGCTAGTCCTGTGTTTTGGAAAAAACTGAAAGCACAACTTAGCCAGCCTTTTATGAAAAGCCACAGTGGTCGACTAAAGCCAAGAGTGAGCTGAAGAAGGGGCACTGGTTATCTTCCTGACTGTGCTAGTGCCAACCCTACACATCCCAGGCAAGATTTCAGAAAAGACCAAAAGCCCAGCAGGCACCAACCTCACACCTACGGACTTGCTGTACTTATACATTCAGGACAGGGACAATATAGATCTGAACACTGTCACTTCAGATCCTCAACAGAGAGGATATAGGTGACAGGCTCTGAGCATGACAGCTGCATGTCACAACTCAGGTAACAAGCCTTCAACATAACCATGCAGTACAGCTAAGTCTTCTCATAGGGTCCACCTCTTCCTGACTACCAGCAGCATTTTACACATAATGCAAAGCAGAACTTGGCCTGCCAGGGACTTGTAGCATCTGCTTTGTACCACACAAATGAACTAGCAGTCATTCCAGACTGAGTCCAGCCAAACACTTCCACTTGTATGTTGCTTTAAAAATATTTGTGACCTAGCGAAGGGAACTAATTGTGCTGAAGTTTGAGCCAGCAGGGGAATGCTTTGCTTTCTTATTCTTTACACAGAACACCCACCAAAGTCATTAGGTAGGATGAGTGAAAGGCTAATTGCAGTGCTTCAGTTTATAGCAATCCCCTGTGAGATGCAGTGCATGCCTTTAAAAGTGTTGTTCCTTGCACTGAACTCGTACATCAAATGGGAAATAATGCAACTATGGAGGCAATAATGCAACTACCGTGGGTGGTAACCAGCCAATTCTTCTTACACCTACAGCATATTTTGTTCCAGAAGATCATATTAATGCTATTATGGGAATTATGGAATTGTTATAATGGACCTGCTAGGCAATATTGTGTATTTGGAAACTTAAAATAGCAATGACCACCCTAAATTTTCACTACATCTGCTTTTCCTTTTCAATTCAGCCTGCTGTGTCTCTGCAGGCTCTCTAGTTTAACGACTATTCGTCCCTTCATGTTCACAGAAAAATACTAACTACCGGATAAGGGAGTGTATGTGTATACTAGCAAGATCATTAGTCTGAATAAATGTGACAGCCGAGTTGCATGAGAAATGCCACAGTTAGTGGTAAGCACAAACTACAGCTTTGGGTGTAAAATACTATAATTACAAGGGATGGAGAAAGCTCCACAGTTTTTATCCCCACAGAAATCAATAGTTGTGCAGACTTCTGCTCTTTGCTGGAGCAGGAGCAGTCTGATGAAAGAGCTTATTGATCTATCCAGCTGATGCTACTGAAGTGAATAATAGACTGGAAGAGAAAGGGCTTGTAAATTAGACTCATTCAATCCAGCATTTTCCAGCATATCTTTTACGTGCAGCTATATAAAGGTATATATTTACAAGCGAGTTTTTGTCAAAGCAACAGGCTACTGACTCCTTGTAAGAGGCTCTGTCTACTAATTCTTTGACCCCAACTACACCCCCCGTGTCAACCTTCAAGCTCTCACTAAAGACTGATAGTCAGGAGGCAGCACCGGGGCATCTAGGAGCAGGATTTGACTATGGGGCATGTAAGCAGCTGGCCAACACATCTCCCTGAGGGCTATGGCCACAGAAAAAAAGGTGGCTGTAGCTTCCTCCATGCCACATGTGCCATGTCAGACCCAGTGGCATGAAGGCATTGGAAAAGTCTGCTGTGGATCCACAGGTTCCCAGCCTAGGAGAAATGTCAGTTCCTGGCCAGTCCCCAAAAGCCTCAAATAATATGGAAAGAGGCATGTTGTTTTAGGAATGAAAGGAGTCCTGTGTGTCTTCCTGGCTCAGCAGGTAGACTTTCTATGAACCTAAATCCACATGGGCAAAAATGTAAGTATTCAGATTGATTGCGCATAAACTGAGAAGGAGAAATAAAAAAAAAGGGTGGGGGGGAGAGAGAGAGAGCAGCAGGCACATTGCCACCAAGTACGGCAAATCAATCTTCTCAGCAGTGATGGATCGGGGAGCAGGACTGTAAGTTTTACAGGTATATGAAACCCCGCGAGTATAAAGACACCATTAAAACACTGCCATTAAATTCCAACACTGAAGGATTACCACGGCCCCTGGAGCTAAGCAGGTCATTATATGACTGCATATTTTTCATTATCATTTTTTATATACATATATATGAAGCAGAATAGGATTCACAACAGTTTCACCCTCTCTCCTGCTGAAGACCTCTGCTTTATACTCAGCATCCACTTTCACAAATAAAATGCAATATACCATCAACAGATAAACGAGATCCCTACAGGGCTTTTATTCTGCTGTACTATTATATCTACTTTTCCACAAGACTTCTGCTTAAATGGCTCTCTTTATGCACACACACAAAGATGACATACACCTGTCTCAATATAATCTGATAGTGAAGAGCTCTTCTGTATAGGGAAATGTATCTTTTCTTCCTAATTTACCATAATGACTTATTAACAGTGCTGGAGCTAGGGGTATGCTAGCTTCCCCACAATAAAAGTGTTATATAGTAAGACATGGATGGATTTTTATTTTTTTTTTCTATCTTTAGAAATGAAAAAGAGAGGAGCTCTAAATTTCACCTTTCCATTTTCCCCATAAAAAGAGATTTTTTGCGGCATTACAGCTTCATAGGCTGCTGACACTGACTAATAGTTTTTAACATGATGGAAGTATTTGTATGAGCCACACTGAGGAAGCTATTTGTAACTCTGGGAAACCCCAGAGCAAGTGGCTATGCTGTGCCATAGGGTAGCTCAGAGATCACTGCCAGCATAGTAGCCATCTTATATAGTAATTATTCAAGGGGCAGACCTATGTATTAGTTAGTAGTGTCACTTTTCTGTCATTGTGACTATTTCAGTCAAAAGTAACCTGCCTCAGAGAATAAAAATTCTTAACTCCTTTTTTATGAGAGAACCCAAAGCATTTTATGATCAGGACACACAGATATTGAATAGTTACAGCCACGACTCCTTGGATAACAGAGAGCTGAAGCTTGACAGAGAAGTACTGTAGCGAGATGGGATGAAGGAACAGGAGAGATGTGTATGTGATGATTTTGACTCAGGTTATTGTGCTAATGAAATGTGAAAGGGAGTCTTGATGCACCATCAGCCCAAAGAACACCTCATTTTTGAGAAGGGATGGGGTGCAGAGCAGATTAATTGTTCATCAGTATATGTCAGAATCACACTTAAAACCTGCTTTTTTTTTTTACTTCTCTCTCCTATTAGTCACAAAGGCAGGACCATGGCATAAACAGGTGCAGGCAGAATAGACTTCAGTGCTAGAGCTGATCTTAACGAGGCTGCACCATGATGATGACTATACATGAAGTTTGCACTGGTACTGCCTAGATACAGCCTACCTCCTACCACAGGGCACTTGAAATCCAAAAAAAGCACATAACTATTATATGTAGAAACACGTGCACCCACCATTCCTGATATTAAGAAGCCACAAGCTGATCTGCTTGGCCAAGTTTACTCTTTAAAAATGCTGACTTTGCCCTAAATGCTCTTTTTTTTCCATTTACATTGCTGTAAGAGTCACTGCCAAACTTCTCTGGACAGATGCTGCACCTGTATAGACAGGAAGACTGTTTGGTGGGGAGACCGGGGGGAGAAGACTCTTCCTAATTCTTCACTGTTCAACTTCGTATACCTCAGACAGCATTACATTCATCTTCAGGCAAAAATAGTGGGTTGCCCAGACTGGTGAGAACCGGATTAACTCATTTCTTTTACAAATGATTCTGTGACTTTAGGTCATTGATACTGTTCTGCAGCTATTTCTGGTTTCTCTGTGGTCATATATATCCCAGACTCCAGAGAGGTCACAGTGGCACTTACCCTGCATGCAGAGCCCGTCAGTGCAGTTCTTGGACTGCAGCACCAGCCCCTCACAGTCCTTCCCCCCGTTCTTTGGCGCTGGGGCCGTGCACTCCCTCCGGCGCCAGTGAGTACACTCCGTGCCACAGGTGGACCACTTGCTCCAGGATGTCCACTTGCCATCCACTGACAGAAGGAAAGAACAACTTGTTAGGGTGTACGCAGAAGTGAGACCAAGCAAGAGCAATGCACACATTGGCACAAGCCAGCCTGCAAGTCCTGGCCATCTCTGGCAAGGCAGAGGGATCATCAGCCTGCTCTTCTCTAAGTTCTACTTCTGTCATGTAAATACACATTCACCCCCACCTCTCCTTTCTCTCTGCCCTGACCTCATTTCTGGTCTTTCTTCCCCTTTATATAAACTTCTAACTAGTTTATCTGTGTTCAAAGTGTACAAGCAACAACTCAGGAATCTGTGATTTTATTTTAATTTTTGGCATTTTTTAACACAGAGATTAAACTGGTCCAAAAATTCTTCTTTAGTAGGAAGATATTTAATGTTAAATACTCCCTATTAAAAGAAATATCTAGAGGTACCAAACTATTTCACATGAGCAGAATCAAGAATGTGTTTAGTGCCTTTCAACATCCTGCAAATGACTTTCAAAAGCACTAAATCGAACAGGTGAAGAACAAAATGTGAAATTGTTCTTGTGACAGAGCTGGATGGCCAAACTTAACAAGCTCAAGATGACCTTACTGACATTGATTTGAGTGGGTCTGTAGAAGGAGGAAAGCACTGCACAGTAGGGGCAGAACTTTGTCACAGATAAGTACCAACTACCTGGTGTGTCCTGAAGCAATTTCCTATTTTTCAGAAGTTTACATTTAAATACCTTTTAAAGGTATGGATACACATCTCTTTCCAGAATAAATGTCTTTGTATTTGAAGTCAGGTAAACATGTGCCTCAAATTTAACATCCTGTCCTAGTTAGCACAGCTGAGAGCAGTTCATCATGGTATGGGTGTAACCCAAAACTGTGTATTCTATAGCCCTCCATGCCATTTCCCAGAAACTGTTGTCAATAGACTATTCGCACCCTCTGCCCATAAGAGCCTGACTCCTCAGGCTATAAACTAGGTGTTAAGAGGCCTGTGAGATAGGAGGATGCTCTTACCTTTTATGGAACTCCCTGAGGGAAGTACTGACCATTCCTGCCTGAACTGGAGAATATATAAACCTGGAGTTTCAGAACCTTTCTACCACTCGTGGGATCCAGAAGGAAGACTGCAGCTCGTCGCTCTCAACCTCAGCTGGACTGCAATCACCGCTTCTGACCAGACTGCAACAGCTCTCCCACCAGCAGGTTTTTCCCCTCTCCCTTTACTTTGGACTCAAGTGGGGCCCAGGGAACACCACTTTGTTCATGCCCCAGGGTACCGGGTTGTACATGTGGGTTTTGTGGGTTAAGACCAATTGTTTGTTTGTATGATTGTACTTACTGTATTATTTTAATAAATTGTTATTCTGACTTTATAATCTCTCCTTTGAGTTGGGTTCATTACCCCTGCTGGTTAACTCCTAAACCAGCACACATCCACATCCCAGATGCTTCAGTTGCTGAGACAGCTGGACTGAACAGACATTGCAAATATATTTACATCGCAGTTCCTTTCTATATTCAAATTCCAATCCTTTTCCAGAGCTTTCAAGCATTATCTCCTACAATTTGAAACTCTGAATGTTCCCCAAATCCCCTGAATTATGAGGGCTGAGACACCAGTGTAAGCAGCATGCAAAAGTAGGGCTGAAACCCATGCTGCTTGATATGATGTGCTCACTATTTTATCTACTTATGTAATACAATTTCATATTCATCCCCTGAAATGTTGGATTTATTAATAATGAGAGGCAGGCTTTTGTAACTCATAGTATTCTCCTGAAATGACTGATGACAGACAAACAATTTATCTAGGGCTGTGTGCTGTTGATACTGAACCTGGACACAGAGTGGTGCAAGCTATTTTCTGAACGCTCTGGCCCTCGCAGAAGGCACCACCGTTGAGTGGGGCAGGGTTGGTGCAGGTCCTCGTGCGCTTCTGGAAGCCTCTCCCGCATCGGCTGTTACACACTGACCACTCAGTCCAGGTAGACCAGCCTCCGTTCACTGAAAAGCAAGAGGGAGAGTATGATCCCATAATCAGGCCAGCTTGGTCAGCCCAAAGCCCACAGTGATGGCTGGGAACAGCACGAGAAGCAACGCTGAACAGACAAAACCCATGCCTCCAACATGCCAAATGTATGCCAGAAGTCACTGTAAAAATTTGAAGAAATGCTGATGCCAAATGAAAAGCACCATTTGATGACAATTAGGGCTGGCAGGTGACCAACCTTACTCTGAAAACTGACCTGACCAGCCTTAAGCTCCTGATGGAGTATGTATGATCAAAATCCCTGCAGATTCAGAGAGCACACACAGCTCTAACAGCCAGAAGCCTATGCTCTGAAAGCTGCAGCACTTTCCAAACGGAGACAACCTGCACTCCTGCTCATGCTCAGATGAACCCATCACCTATGTATGCTGAGACACCCTCATGCTTTGATTAGATATTGATAATTTTCTCTTCCTTTCTTTGAAGACGGTGATTTCAGGATGACAGGACAACTTCACTCATCCCTCTGTGGACCTAGCTGGTGCATATGAATGTCTCAGCACTTCCCTAACAGATATTTAAGCTGTTCAGAGTGAACTAACACTAAATGCATTTTTTTAATTGACTTTGGGAAGATATTTATCTCTGGAAAGATATTTATGCTGACTCTCCGTTTCACTCACCTCATTTTCTGGGATAGAGGAATAGATGAAGAAGGAGCTATGCTGCTCTACATAAGAATGTCACTGCCAGTGTATGGGTAACATACTAAGTGCTCAGATTCTCTAAACCCAAATGTTTGTGATATGATACAACCCTTAAGCAGCTCTGGTAGCAAAACCCATAAAAATGCTACTGCCCTACACATGTCTCTTGAATGTACTGTTGAAAAAAAAAATCTGTATATGTATGAGGAGGAGTTGCCTACATCTTTATGTTTCTGCATTCATCACAGTTACAAAACATGGAGCTCTTGCATGGTCCATTCCTCAATATCACAACCACTGCTAATCAACTCAATTCAGTCAGTTTTCTATAAAAACTGAACTAAAAGGCCTTCATTGTAACTTCGGGGAAGCAACTGCTTACAATTAAATCTAACTGCTACCCTGAATATGAAATGAATATTAGGGATAATCATAGGGATTTTTTCCTACTTGTCTATCCTATAATTAAGCTGATTGTAAGGAACACCAGTTCAGTCAGCTGGCACATCATCAGAGCAGGTTTTGTTCTGGTGGATACCCCCACCTGGGATGCATTTGGGGCAGTAACTCTGCAGGGGCAAAGGCTCAACCTGGTAGGGCAGAGCTGCAGCGCAACACAGGCTGGAAGAGACCCTAGAAGGGCATCTCATCTGGCCCCTCCACAGCCAAAGCATGACCAGCCTCAGTTATATCAGGACTGTGGATGCAGACACATGCAGACACTGTAGATGCTATCCCATGCTTTGTACTCCCCTGACGTTTATTTTTAAACTAGGCTGTGCGCCTCTGAACTGCAGTCCCAGAATGCTTTGTTACTTTGCCCCTGATGTCAGGGTATGTTTTGGCAGCAGACACCAAAAAGAAGCTTATTTAAATAAATATAAGAAGATGGAGGGTTGTGATGAGCTCTGACACTCTTACCAGTATCTGGGAGCACGAACTTCCCATCAGTTTCACTCATTTCTGAAAAGTATCACTAAGAACGTGAACTGTGGTGGTAGTAAGCAATGCCTTGGACACTCCTGTTGGAGAATGTGCCCTCGTGGCTCCTTGCTGTATCCAGCCGGCATGTGTTACAGCAAGGGGAAAAAAAATGCCTGCTCTTCATGAGGTAGCTGGTTGTGTGTGTGCCACCATTTCCTGTCACCAATAAGCCAAGCCATCAGACCTGTACTTCTGATATTTTCAGTAATGAACCCTGACTGCAGTCCCTTAACATGTCTGCAAGTCAACAGGCAGCACAGGCAGCCCAGACTGACCACAATCAGAGTTGCACACACGCATTTTGCATCCTCCTCCCGCTCCTCTCGCTTTGAGTGTGCATCCATCCATTTGCAATGGGACAAGGCACCACTTACCATAGACAATCACAGTCGCTGTGGTGCTTTTCCTTTTGGCCACAATGTTTTTTGCAACACAGGTGTAATTGGCTGTGTCAGAAAGCCGGGCTTGCTTGATGATCAAGTTGTGATCAATCGTGATGTAAAAATTTCGGTCTTCCACAGGATCAATAACCTCTTCATTCTTCAGCCACTCCACCTTGGGGTTTCAAAGAGCCAGAGGGGAGGTAGTAAGTCAGCACCAAGTCACACCACAATTGGACAGGCACAGTATCTATGATTACATTGCTTTTAAGTACACATGCACTCACATGTACATACGTGTTATTGTCTTGCTGCAATTAGAATTAAACAAAACAGAGACAGTTACCAAGAAATCACAAGGACATCAGTGCTTATTTTTCCTTTTTTACTTATATAAGCTACATTTTATTTTAATAAAGCATAATTTCCTTATCTACACAAAAACAAAAAACAAAAACCAAAACACAAAACAAAACAAACAAACAAACAAAACAACAAAAAAAGCCCACCCATGATTTTTAATCTAGACAATGTTCTCTTTACTGCCTTCCTAAAAAAACCCACCCTGTTATATCCCAGCTGATGGCAGTGAGCTGCTCTTAATATAATTTGGCTGCAAATCCAGTAGCTCGTTTTCATTTCAACTGTTATGTTCTGAAGGACAAGACAGGACTGGGCCCTGGATGGATCAAAGCTCGGTCTTTGTGTCACTGGATCACTTCAGCCTGTGTCCAGGACTTAATTAAAGGAGGAAAAACATAAACACAACCAGCCTGCCAGACTTGTGAGGTGCTAGCTGCCAAGACCTGCTTTCACAAACCTCACTTTTCTAAAGACATTTGAGGAACTACCCAAGCATTGATGTACCCCAAAAGCAACCAAGAACCTGCTCCCCACCTGAGACAGCTGTACAGACTGCCCCAATCCATGGTGAGAAAACGAATGACCTCTCCTGGTGCTCAAGACAGAAGGCTCAATTCATGCCTGGACAAAGCCAGTCCAATGCTGTAAGACCAGTGCTGGCAGATGTGAGCTTGGATTATAGGTCCCCACCACCCAGCCCCCCTCTTTAGCCCTGGATTAAGTAGCTCCAGCTCCCCTACCCCAGTTTGGGTGGAAGTATATCAGGTGTGAGCTGCTTCCAAAGGTGTACACCTTAGTGAATGTAAAGCCATTGCTTCAGTGAAGGCTTGATTTAAACCCCCCTTTCCCACAGCACATCCCTGCAGTAGGTGGCAGTCAACTGTCAATACTGTGTTGCTTAAACTTGGGGGTGTAAAAAGGGCCATGGAAATGGATACATGTGTCTGTGAGGAACAGGAAAAGAAAAAAAAGATATAAAACTGTCTGTCACTACCACAATCCTGTTTCACCATGGAAGATATAAGCTCTGAGTCAATAGCCTGGTTTTCCTCGACAGGATGACTAAAATTGTTCTTCCTCCTTCCTTGAATCCTAATGGGTATCAGGTATAATCAAGACAGACAGATTTCTATTCAGTCAATGGCAATATTTAGCTCCTTCCTCACCTGCAGGTCAAGTCCGCGTGCATTCTAGAATGAAAAACAAGCCAGGAGCTTATCTTCACCAGTGGTAGGCTGTCACTTAACCACCGCCTCTCACACAAATAAAACACCTTTTTTGGGTTTTAATGTCATTGATTATTTCTGGGATGGAGTACAGACTTATGCTAGGGGTCTAATAGACGCTACATGCACTGCCAGAACCACGTACATACCACCTTCAAATTTGCCTGTAATCTTTCTATCCTCTGCACGTTGAAGACACCAGGACATCAGTAAGAACAGGACTACAGTCTACATAGTCTAATGCTCAGTCTAAAATGTTTCTGGTATGCCCATCAGAGCACATACTCTAGCAGCCTTTGGCACCCTGAAGGCTCCATGGCCAAGCACATGGTTGTCTTTTTTGAGTACTCTGCAACACTTTGTCTCTCCACTGAAAACACACATGCATATTCAGTCTGGGTCTCAAATGATTAGACAAAATTAAAGCTGTAAGCATTAAATTCCCTATCATCCCTGCAAAAACACCAAAGATAATATGAAAACAGAAGTTGCCAAAAAAAAAAAAAAAGGCAGCTCTGTATAATTCAGTATATTGCCTCTGGCTCTACACCAAATCTCTTAGGAAAAAGATCCTTTTCACCTAATGTCTCAAAATTCTACAGAATTTGCTAAGAATAAAAGTTTGCAGAACAACAGGATGCTTCTTTTTTTCCGCCAGTACATCAGAACTGTGTGTGCATGTCTAAATCCCATCTCTTTCACAAGATATCTCTAATAAATCTAATTCAGTCTTCTGACATCCAAGTTTTTATGATGTCTGTTAATGTTGCAAACTCCAATGTTAAATCTGAAGGGAGGAACTGATGGATGATTTGACACGCAGCAGGAGTCTCCTTTCACACACATTTTAGCCATCAGTAGAACAACACAAAAAAGAGCACATCCCTCCAGTGGTTGTGTTTTCTCCCTCAGTCCTTGTAGAAATGGTAACTAAGTCAATACACTACAACATGTAAGTGAGGCTGTTGTTGGTACTTATTTTCAATTATTATCAGCCTCATTTTCTCTGGTGCAGGTGACTGCAGTGCTCAGTACCTCCAAACTTCTGATTTTTTTTTTTTGAGGTAATCAGTATAGGTAGGAGCAGGGTTGTTCTGTCACGTAAGTAGGAAGAAATCAGGCGTCAAATACAGAACACAGAAGAGAAGAGAACAAAGAGGAATGAGACAGCGTGATTTATGAATGACAAGTATGCAAACTGTTATTACAGAAGCTAAAAGCAACAATCTCTTTTGATGCCATGTCATTCCCCAAGGCTCAGCCCCCTCACTGAAGTAGGCTGTTAATTCATTCAATGCAGAAACTTATCCTGAATTTAATTCTGCTGCCTGAATAATAGAGACTGGTAGATGAGGCATCAGACACTTACATGCTAGAGACCTGTACCCCTTCAGGCAAATGGACAGAGGGGCAGCAGGACATCCATGGACATTTCAAAGTGCACAAAAGCCAGCCTCCAAGGTCATACCAAATCACACCCTCATGCCTCCGTTTTTCATATATCTAGAGATGTTTTAGAGTAGATGGTTGCTTTTGCCTAAAATTGAAGATGTATATTTACTGGCTATAATAACAATTTTTGAACAGGCATCTAGTCCTACATATTCAATTAAATCAAGCATGTCCTTCCAACTGTTATTGATAAATGTACTGATGGCTGTGCATGCATATGTAGGAAAAGCATGGGATCAGTTTTTCTTTATCATAACAGAAATCATTTAATTGCCAACAATTATGCCATAAAGGATGAAGTAAGTGTACCCCATGGGAGATGACAGGTATGGAAAATTACAACAATTTGCAATTTTTTTTTTTTTATATACAAACTCTTAGAACAAAGCAGAAAGAAAATCCCCATTTCTTATTGTTAGTTTTCTACTTGCAGAAGTATTTTTGTTATATGTTTGCAAACTGACTAGCAAAAGAAGCCCACTCAGTTGAGGTGTGAGAGTAGTGAATGAAATCTTGACTCATAGAAACTGCAGATGCTGAGAAGCTGGAGCACACCTGAAGCCAGTTACCTTTTGGTCAGAGCTCCTTAGCACTCTGGAAGCAACTTGCAGAGCAGTGAGGCACACAGCTCCTGCCAGCTGTGCTGGATCTGCACATCCAGTGCTGCTAATGGGCTGGCAAGCAAGCCTGCAAGAGACTAAGCCATCCCTGTAACGGGCTGAGAAAGCGCATGGTCCAAGGCAACTGTAATTTACAGCAACATACCTTGTAGCATCTTTCTGTCATCCCGTTCCCCAGTGAGAGACAGATGTGTTGTCTCTAATCATTCACTGATTGGTATCGGGAGATACATTAACATAATTGGCACATTTGTTCTAATTAACAGAGGGAAGCTGCCACATGCCACCCAACATGAAAAGCAAGACCATCGGCAAGAACAGAAAACTTCCGATCACCACCTCAGCTATACCTGGGAGCTGCAGCCAAACCTGTGCTGCCAGAGGATGTTTCCAGCAGCAGCACAAAATAAGGCAGCACACACAGAGATAAAGACTTGCAGAGCCATGACAGGCTTCTGTGCAGACTAAATGAACACAGGGAACATAAATCACACAAGCGATTACAGACGCAGGAAAACCTATTACGGAGGCTAATTGCTGACACAAATTTAGCCATACTAAGTTACTAGCATTACTAGGCACTTAAGTCTCTTGGCACACTTGCTTATGTATGACTGTTTTAGAAACTGGTAGAGCAGAAGCACATCTGTTCCAAAAGAAATCCAAGGATGGAAAAGGAATAGGAGCTCATCTAGGTCCTGCCCTCCATATCGTACAAGTCATTCCTTACACCTCTCACAATCTCAAGAGCAAAGTCAGCAGGGTATGAGTTCTGGATCCTTGTTGCTCATTATCTCCTCTGCACCAACCTGCCCTAGAATCATCTTCAGAGCAAGGTCCACCTGCCCAAAACAACAAGTCTTTTATCCTCCAGACATAGACAAAGTGCTCCAGTGCAATTCTCCAGAAGAAACAATGCAAACAGCTGGGAGAGACTTGCCTTGATAAAAGGCAATTTGTAATTCTGGGAAGTGAGAACATTGTACCCCTGCCTTCCCCATGCCTGGTTGATGCAGCAGGATTGCTTTCCATCTGGTCCCTCATCCACATCGGCATTGCAGTTGGCGTTCTCTGCAGCTGTGCCAACTGGTCACAGCGGCATCACTTGCCTTGCAGCAGTCCCTGCTGAGCTCACACAGCCTCCAACAGCCACAGGGAAATCACAGCTCCCCTGCTTCACCTGAATTGTAACAACAGACACGAATCCCAAGCCATATTGGTAGTAAGGGCACACATACTCATTCCAGTAAGAATAAAGCATTTGTGCAACTAGCTACTGATTTGGACACAGTACAAGATGTTCAAGTGAGACAGAGAAAGCTTTAGCAGCTTTCATACAGGCTATCGAACCAGCAGCTATTCCAGATACCTTGAGACTTGAGTGCCTATTTGAAGAATGTTATTTGATTTTTGGATTTTGTTTCAAATGTATACTTTCACCCCAGCAACTGGCTGTTGAAGGGGATGCTGTCCTCTATATACTATTTACTGAAAAGAGATTTAAGGTTAAAAAA